AAGCCATGCAGGATAATAAAGAGCTTATAATATTATATGCCTATTTAGCCATAAGTCATGTATTTCTACTTGAATTCAAACAAACCAGAAATGCAGAAATTCGAATTAGTAGCTTGGTACGCTGTAATACAAAAAAAAATTGCATTGTTGAGTATACCTAAAACCGTCTGAAGACATCTTATTAATTTCAAAGGCAATTAAAATTTTCTCTTAAGCATTTATTTGTGCCTCTTTTTCAGAATCTGGCAATGGTGCCGGTAAGGCCGGCCCATTACGCGAATCTAATGGACCGTGGCTAGGAAAGTCGTGGGCAGCGAAAAATTCTTCTCAGCCAATTACTTTCTTCGGACGTGACACTTCCCATGCAATAAAAACTTTTAATAATGCATCGGTTTCTTTACTCAGATACGAAATAATGTCAAACTGTTGGAAGGTTAATGCGAAGAATCGACCAACCTTCTCTCAAATCCACCAACGTCTTCATGATTTGATGAGTAATGATGAGGTAAATGATATCATATACCACGAAGATTCTGTCTTCTTATCCATGACGTCATTTTTAATTGCTTTTTGAAAACAAATATTACAGTTCAACCATAGGCAGCCCATGGGGAATTTGTCAACATGCATGGTGTAACTGAACAAATAGCTGAACTCTTAGACTTAGTCCAAAATTTTTGAGAAACACAAAATTTAAATCTGTCATCAATATGCGATTACATCCTTATAACACTAACAGGATTAAATGTAACATTTAGATGACTACCCTAACTGCGTAATAACTATATATGTTTTTCACTTTTTCATCTTTAGCCTTTTAAGTATTTTTTTTCCCGTAGAAATCTTACATCAATGTAAAGCAACTAAAGGATGGAAAGCTTTGTTTGACGATCAACCCAGCTGAGGTTGAGCTCATGGATGAGAAGAAAGATGATGTAAAATGATGTCCGCTTGAAGAAACCATTTCTATTAAATATGGCTGATAATTATGAGAATAATGTAGTTGTTTTCACGGTTTTTCTATATTTTTTTTATATCTAACAACGATCCCATAGGCTTAGCTTTTTGGTAATCACTCGAAATTGATAGAGACCTCAAAATCGTAATCACGTTATGAATTGCCATTCTCTCACGATATTTTATCCTTGAAAGTAATATTAGATTGAATAACTAGATCAGTAGGTGTGATTTATTTATCTTCCCTGTCTATGGCCCTAGCAAAGTGTTTCAAAGAAAAATGAAAAAGAAGATCAACTGTCAACTAACAAACACAACTGAACATGAGTTTAGCAAACATGCATAAAGTGGCAAAGGAAGAACAAGTGTGGATGTTTTACAAGTCCAATGTGGACAGAAGTCATTTTATAAAAATGCCTTGATATCGCTTTTGCGGGAATCCTTTGTTACGCGCTGTTATCGTTGGTTTTATCAGAATCGATTATGAATCAATAATCATGCAATAATGAATATAAATCGACCAATAAAACTATTCGTTGGCGCTTTTAAAAATGTTAGTATATTCCAATTGTAAACTGCATATATAGCTAATAATTCAATTTAAGAGATATTGACATAATATACAAACTGCAAATAATCCCAAGCAGTTGTTTAGGCGTCATCTGCAGATGATGATTCTGCAGATGTTTAAAGTCATATTCAGTAAAGCCTCTATTTAGTCGTTAGTGCATGCATGTTATAGATTTGAATTAATCTAAGTTTATCTTGTCTTTATGTGAGGCATGCGAATCAGTATATTCATTACCAGAAATGCAGGTCCATAAGCGGTTACACGTGGACTCGTGCGGTTGAGTTTTCTGTTCATTATTTCTGGCTGATTCGAAACAGACAAATTGCATATGGTAGCAGGTAGTAATATTAAAAATGGCCCACTTGAGATGCTGGCCACGCCACTTAGTTCAATATAGTTGAATAATTAATATTTGTATAATTATCATAGCAACTGCAATGAATCATAGTAACAGCTAAAAGAGCTAATAAAGGCCATCAAAATGAACTTCGCCCGCTTAGCGGGGCAGCCCGGCTTACGAGATCTCGACGTTGACACGTCACAGTTTGCACAGGATTGAAAATTTATATAACTATATAATTTTATAATTATAACTATAAAATTTATATAAACTATAATATAAGCACGAATTCCAAAGGCAAAGTGTGAGACAAAGTGAATGTATCATGGGGTTTATTTACATTTTTGAACAATTGAACTTCTATACTTTTTAAATTACGATGTGCTTCTGAATTTCGCGATCGAACAACATTTAGGTTCGCAAGGTATCTAAATGAATATGAACTGTATTGTTTATGTCCAAAAACTTTATACTGAAGACTAGCACGTGTGCACCATGCCGGAGTTAACGCCAGAACAGGCGTCTTGTTTAGTATAATTTATAGCCGCCACCTTATGGCTGCAATTTTTCTTCATGCAGGATCTCTTAATTCTCTTTCTGCTATAAAGAAAAATAACTATGGCTACTATATTAAATATCTGGCTGATGATATACCACAAATTTCATAAACAATGGTGTGTAAAAAATGTAATCAAGTATTGTTAGAGAAAATTAGCCTACATTAATGTTTTTTTAAAAAATGACCTACACTTAACAAAGGTAATTTGGTATCATTATAGCAACCACTTTAATTATGGCTGTAATTTGTCTTCAGGACCTCTTAACTCCTTTTCTGCTGTAAGGACCAGTAACCATGGCTACTATTATACTATTAAATATCTGGCTGATGACTGGAGATATAATCAATCAATGCATACCTAATAGGGAATGCTCCAAAAAAAACAATTTACTTTTTAAGAATATTAATTCAGTCGACTTCAAATATTTTCAATTTTAAATGCAAAAATTAATATAAACTTTAATTAACAATCTGTCAACAATAACAACAAATTTCATAAATCTAAGGAAAATGCAAATCTAAAGTGTGTACAAAGTTCATTTAGTACTATAAGACAAAATACATATGACTTTGGCTGGAGCTAAGAATAATAATATATTACATGTTTTTTATAAAATGACTTTACCCAGTAACAAAGTTCATTTAGTATGATTTGGTTAAATGTTCACCAAAAGGAGTTTTTTATCACTTAGACCTGGTTTACACTTGCAAAGTTTCTGTGATCACAATAGGAATTTTACATGGATAAATATTACATTTTAGTGATAAATGTTTTAGGAAAGTCCTTCAGCGTTATCCACAAAGTCAGTTTCATGCAACATTAATAGACCTTTTCGGTAAATATGTCACAATTACATTAAAGTGAGGTTGAGGGGCCAATATCATTGGGCAACTGAACCAAAGAAAATTTTGCCTCATCGACCTGGTAATTACAAATAACGTCCTTTAATCTGTTAAACTATTTTGCCAAAACAATTCCGGATTACTGGATATACTGTTACCTGCACGTTGGTTGTGTGCTATCAGTTGGAAAACAAATTAACGTAATGGACCTGATAGTTACAAATAATGGCTTTTAACTGGTTATTAAGGCTGTTCTACTACAAAACACTAACACACAATTATGAAGTAATCCAAATGAACAAATGGTATATAGCCATATCATTATAACAGTGATGAACTTCAAGAGAACTGTGGTATTTTCAACTTTGCACAATATAAATACATTCAGTACGTGTTATTTGTTGAAAAAATTTTATGTACGCAGGAAGTAGAATTCTCTATTGTATTGTGATGTGATGTGATGCCATATGTGACGTGTCATGTGATGTGTCATGTTACCTAATTCAATGTAATGAAATGTCTGTGTAACCTTAACTTTCTTTGTCAATTTATGTAAAATTATATTTGACATAAGTTCTGAAAGGCACTCTTCTGATAGAAAAAAAAATACTTTTTGTGAATTCATGTTAATGATATTGTTAAAAGAATTTTATAATAAAATAATTTTTCTTTAATATTAGAAAAGAAGTGTATTGTGTTATATAGATCACACAGCTAAATAGACATACGCTGATGTCATGACCTTAGTCTAAATATCTAATAATATTCTTTGATGTTTCTGTACGTCACTAATTCTACCAATGACAACACTATACAATGACAGTCATATTTCCCAGCGTACTAGCTTATGAGAATCAAATTAGCTAGAATGATTCCCGTAATAAAAACTTCTGTGCGTTTACATGGACAGGCGGGCTTGCCCGCTTAACGAGATCCCACTCGAAATAGGCAAGATCTCGCTTAGCGGGATGAAAATATTTTCATATAAACGCTCCTAGTGGGTTGGCGCCTGGCCCGTTTGCCGAGGTAGAACCAATTTTTATAATTTCTTATGTTTCTCGGCGTTTCTTTTTATAGGTTTGAACACTACATGATTAAAAACGAACAAACGGTGGCAACGTACTTTAATAGATTCTGATGCTAATGTGATATGAACTTTAAACGCAAAGCTAATAAAAGTGTTGTAAATAACTTTATCCCGGCAAGCGGGATGAACAGCCCGTATACACAGCCCCTAAGAATTCAGCCATTTTGTCTTTGACTTCGGCTGCCATGGCAAAACTGCTCTCCATGCACGTATTTGTTTATCGATGCTAAAACACCTGCTGAAAGTTTTATCACCTTTTTGTATATTGCATGCAGAAAAGATCGCAGAGATCTGACGACATTGTTCACAACAACCACTTGTTTTGCTCGCTGTGGTACTTGTGAAGCTATCAAATTCATTCTTCCGGAACAAATTGCCTGAAGGCAAAATCATTAGGTTAATTCGCTATCTGCGGAAAACTGCGAGTAAATAGCAGACAAAAGTCGTAATTCGCGCGTGAATTAATTCGTCCGAAATACATTAACCATTTGCAAAAAGCATTATGATATATACATTAACCATAATTATGACAAATTAATAAAGATGAAAATCCGGTTGTAGATCAACTGCCTCCTTATCAACTGTCCTCTTGATTATGTCAATCATGCCACTAAATTGCGTAAATGTGTTATGTAAATTATAGCAGTATATAGCAGCATGTCGAAACAACCAGCGTGTGAAATGATGATAGCAAAATACATTTAATAATATTACACTGGAGACAGAATTTGACACCACCGAACTATTTGAGCTCGGATTACTCGACAAACATCAAGCCCTGGACATCGACCAAAATGTAGGTATAACTGAAACCAGATGTAGGTATATATGAAATGTTTATTTTGGTCAGTTAGCACTCGTTCGGTTTTAACAACACGTTGTTTATAAATTATCATGAATGATTATATTATCTGACATCTCTACTCTTAATATTAGAATTAAAAAGTATATGTGTTTCTTATATAGCCTTTTCCATTAAAGGCGTACGTCTCTGAGATCGCGTTTCTTTTTTAAATATAACGCAGCAAATATTAAGGTTAGCTAATGTGTGTTAAACCGACTTTAACAAAGAACTAATACACAAGCATTATTCATGTTATTAATTTTAACATTCATTTTTGTGTAATAACTTTTTGCCTCATATAACGACCTTTATGAGTAGGCATTGATTTTTCTGAATATACTTAGTTCATCAGTAAAACTGTAATAATGATTATAATGTGAGTGTACAAAAAAATACAGCTATAACAACTGTTTGCCGGACCCTCTTTAGCACTTGATGACTTGAAGAGCATTTAGGGGACCTCTGGTTCGAAATCAACGAGCTCTTAACGCTTCATAAAACGCACATAAACGAAGCTGAATTGTCAAAATATAAAATAAACATTGAAATACCACATTCATTGATATATGTAAGAAATTAATGTTTTATTTAAACAATAAAATTGTATATAGTATATACATTATTCATGTGCGGTCAAAGATCAGACACGTGTATAAATCCGTGTACTCACCTGAGTGTTGCTGTCGAGACTGTTGTCTTAATCGCTCTGCAACTTCTAACAGAACCGCTCTAGCAGAGCTTATTTCATCCGCATTCATCCCGAAAGAAAAACTAACAATGCTACGCGATAAAAAATGGCTAAAATCTATATTTACGAAACGCTTGCTTTGTCGCAGCACAGGTCGCAGAGAAAACAGACAAGAACGCATTACCACATGCGCGACTTTTGCGCGTGTCACGTGGTAGTAAGAGTCCGATAATGCCTGGGCACGAAATAACGTAGCAGGGGGGTTAGCCCCTCTTTATCATAATTAATATTAACGGACATTTCGCGCTTATATTCATCACCGCCAATATTGAGCTTTCCGCATTCGCATGTTGAAATATTTTCAACAATTTTCGAACATCGAAGTGCCGAGCAAACGGCGTATTCAATATCCATTGTAGCCTAAATTACCAAATATTCAGAAATATGTTGCATATTAAACTACTTCAATGTCCAATTTAACTTTAATTTTAGAAATATGTTGGGTATTGAACGACTTCAATGTCGAATTTAACTTCAATTATAAAAATATATCCAAAGTAAAGCGACATGAATATTGGCGGAAATATGACTCCATAGCGGTCATGCGTTCATTGCGTTGTTGTTGATATATCTTTGTTGAGGATGAATCTTTAAAGACACAGTAAAGGCATTTTATGCGACATTCACAACAGACTATCAGCGTCAACAAGCGTGTTTACATGCCGCCTGAAGTTCTTCTGAAAAGGTCAAATTTTGAAAGCAATAGTGTGTGCCGAATGGATTTCATGTAAAGAACTCTAACAGAGATTTTAGCTATTAACAATAGGTTCGGCAAATGAAAAGTTCGATATCTGAGGCGGACCTAAATCAACAAGGGGAAATTTCGTTTTAGACCAACCAGCAAGCTTGTTTACATTTTCAGTAACAATCAGAATGCATAAATTTTGATAAAAAGTACAATATATGTGACCTTCCACGGGAAAACATACGTTAACGCTATTTCGTTCGTTGAAAAATATCGTTCGTTATCCGTTTACCGTATATTCGTTTACCGTTCAAATGCTTCAAGCGTTCGTTGAAACGATTCGAAAATTGTTCCAAAAGTTCACCCGTTCGATTTACCGTTCGTTGCAACGTTTGCTGGAATTTCGTTCAATCGCATTGGATTTGGTTCAACATTAGATTAAACATTTGCAATGTTAAACTTTTTAGAGGAAGCGCAGAATGTGTTACACAGAAATAATCTTAGAATAGTAGGCTTGTAATGGGGTTATATAATTTTAGCCGAATCGAATGCTATTACTTGCGCTTCATGATTTCTTCTGAGCGTTATGCTGACATTAAAGGCAATATTGCTATTCAGTGCAGCAATTATTTCATTAACGTTCATAATAATATTCATTAATTTCACGTTAATAAACGCTTCATCATCAAAAAGCTTTCTTGCAAAAATTTATCGTTTTTTGAATGCCGGTAATGCAATGATTATAATCTGTACTTAAATACTTTTGTAGCTTCCATAAAGGCAAAGTTCACCACGCGCACAAACAACGTCGCAAGCTATATAATTGTTTAGAGCGTTATGAGCCATATGCCTTGGGGAGGTGCTGTCGGAAGTCCTTAATTAAATGTATGTAAACGGAAAAAACCCGATATCAAAATGAATTGCGGAACTGTGCGTGTTACATGTGTCAGGCCTGATATTAAAACTCGTGCATTTTTCAAATTTATTTAGACATTCAATTCACAAAATTTACTTCATGTATATTGATGTATGCACATTTTAGCACAATTCACTCTCCATGTGTTTTTAAGTCTGCGTAGCAGCGGAGTCTTAAAATGCCTGTCCTCGATGTCACAAACGCGCTCCTTGTTAAACAAGACGCCTACTAGGCGTTATATGATCGCGTCGTTCACAGCGGCATAGCCAGCCCAGCTATCCAAATTTTGTGTTGTAAATGTTCTTAATAATAAAAATGAACAATATACCGAACTATAGTCGCATGTTGAAAGCAGGAGAAACACACAACAGCCCATTTTGAAACTGCTTGAAATCCTTTAGTGCAGGCTTACTCTGCTCGGCGTGTGCAGTTAGTTGTATGTGTAATGAGTGTAGAGATAAAGATAGCACTTGCTAGCATTTTGATCGCTTTATTGATTCTACTGCTTCGAAGTTCGAAGGTGAAACGAAATATGCCCAAAGTGAATACAACACGTGATATAACTAGCAACTTACCTGTGCGCAGGTTCCCGATTAGCGTGATATGGCCTGCAGCTAGCGATGCTGGGGGTCAACCCAAAAGGAAAATAATAATAAAAAAAAAGCCGAAACTATAGATCGCTGTCGCTACGCGACGCAATCAATAACTTAGCATCAAATGTGGTATAGCAACTGCCTAGATAGACAAACACTTCTCGACGTTTCGACCTGAGGGCCTTCGTTAGAAGAGTGGACTTTAAAACAAAGACAACGACTAAGAAAAGATAAGTGACTCGCAAAACGAGTTTTAGACAAAATGAGGTCAAAATATTCTAGGGAAAGCTTGTGAATGAACGGAGAATAGAAAGTAATATGACTAAACATTTCCTTACGAATGTTACGTATAAGTACCTTAAGAGAAACCATAGTCGCTACAATGAGATGTAGATAAGCAAAGATGTATATAACCAAAGAGAAGCGTGGCAGCGTCTTCAAACAACTTAGCATCAAATGTGGTACAACAAATGCCTAAATAGACAAGACACTTCACGACGTTTCGACCTGAGGGCCTTCGTCAGAAGAGTTAGTTCCCGTCACGGTCGCATGAGCAGATTTTCAACGCGCAGAATCGCTTTAAGGCCTCCACTTATAAGTGTTCGTGCGCGAAATCGCCCGTACAGCTTCCGCGTTGACGGCCGCCTTGAAGGCAGACAACAGTTCCAACGTCATACGTACGTACAAAAAATGAGATCGGCCACACTGAAAATGTGCGAGTGGAGGCTGGGTTTATCAGTGTCCTAAAACTTTTAATGTCATGAACATGCATATTAACGTGGTTAATGTAAAGAATATTAATTTTCTATTTGCATGAATGATGAAAACCGACTGGAGAATGGCGGCAACGTTATACGTGCATTGAACTAGTTTTTTTATACCTTTTGTATAACTTGGGGCAGTTTTATGGTTGACCAAGCTGAGCGCGTCGTCCAGCTGACCGCAAAGAAAATCGCACTGTCTTTTGTCTCTTTATAATTTAGACAGTTGTCCGTTCAACCTCGTACTGAGGGTATTTTCACCCAGAGTCTTGTTGTCAGTTGACACATTTGATGCAAAACTGTTTTTTCTTCTCTCATTTGATTCACACTTATTTCTTGTTTTTGCTATTTTCTTAGGAACCATATACAGTATTCTAATATTTGGTTTATGTTTCTCGTTGTCACTTTGATTTTGGGGACTGTTAATGGAGTCTGTGAGACACGACCAGGTATATGTTTATTGATATAACATTTTTTTCAAAATCAACTAATGAATGATTGGTGCCATCGTATTGTTACATGCATTATACACAGCACGGTTGTCTACCGCCGATGTGCTGAATGTGAAAGAGCTCAACCACTTTGGTCATATTAAGCAAATTTTCTCCCAGTACAGTGGGCTCAGTATTTTAGGTCTTCGCATCAAAAATTGAAAGCTTTTCGTTTACCCACTCCTCTCGATTTTATGTAAGTTTTCCGTTGACAATAATTATGAGCTTGTAAAAGTTGGAGAAACTTGTTTAATTTGGATCAGCATCAGCATCAACATCGGCAGGGTTACCGCAACAGGAAAACCCAATTACTGCGGCCCCGATTTTACGGGGCGGGGAACCATTTTCTGTGAAGAAAGATTCCATCCTTTCCATCCAAGTTAATTGGCTGCGAAACCTTTCCCTAGCTATAGTCGTGCATGTCTTGTGTGTCCCTGTGCTTGTTGATCTTAGCGGATCGACCATTGAATCTCGAACTATAACGACAGACAGTGTGGAACCGAAATCATTAGTAACCCCAATAAATACAGTAAAAAGCAAATTCCGAATAAGCAAGACATCTTGAGAATCAAAATATAATTCAAACAAGACACAGATTAAGACTTTATTACAAAGTCATCTTCAGACACAATGAAATACAATACTTTACAACGCATATGTATATATCAATATATATCAGTAGGCCTGATGATTGCCTCTGTGGCATGAAACTCAGAGTAGCGATGCCAATTTTTTAAGAATTATGTAAATGAATAAATATATATTGCTCTATTTGCTTGCAGTATTGAGCACTCTTTTATCTCATACGAAGAATTTCTTAATAATTGTTTATATATATATATATATATATATATATATATATATATATATATATATATATATATATATATATATATATATATAGACGGAAGGCCGGTAAACCAAGCTGAGCGAAACATGATAAGGTTGTCAATAAAACTAAATATGTATGCTATATTTACAATATGTTAGATAGATTTAAGAAAGGAAAAGAAAGACCTGACAATTAAAATATAGAGAGTTCTTTGCTGGCTGGCCAATAAATACGGTAGCGAACGGTACTTTTAATTACATAGGGTAACGAACTTACATAGAAAAACTAGAATACGAACTATCTTTCGCTTGCCCAAGTTCCTCTAAACTTCTTTCATTTTCCATTGCAGAATGCAATCCAGCAACAGTAAAGAATATTAAGTTTTCTGGTCCTATAACTGGGCCGATGTATTATTCACATCCGGGGCCACTAACTTTGACCTGTAATGCATCTTGTGATATACAAGAGATGTACTGGGAACGAACTGATGATGATGGTAGAGTGCGAGAATTGAATTACACAACATTTAGGAAAGTTTCGTCCTTTTGGATAGCAACATTAGACAACTATTTATCCACCGGTATTCCTAAGTTTAGTTTCATCTGCGTAGCTCTGGATATTTGCTGTAATAAGCAGATAACAAAACGATCCAAAACTATAGAACTAAGGAAAACTAAATCTACTCCAAGTAAGTTCTCACACCATTTTTTCATTGTTTTGTTCTTTTAATTACTTTGAAATTAATTTTTTCAACGAGCGAAAATAAAAGAGGGTTTCAGAAACTCGCGGATTTTTTGTGCCTTGCCAAATACGCGCGTTAGCTAAAGACTTATGTAGTCAATTTCATGTTAAATCTGACTTATTACACTGAAATCAGAAGAATAATCGCCCATGTGAACTGGTGCACACTTTTAAATGCAACAATCTTTGATAACTGCAATAATTTTATGGTATTCTTTCCAAACAAATTAAGTATAATTTGGTACTTCGTGGTACTTGTCCACTCTCTTTTGGATAATTTTTTTGCTTTTACTAATTTTGTAGGCAAATGCATTAAAGATGTTTTGATTATTGTTGATACTTCATCTTCGATTGGATTTAGAAACTCTCAACTCTGTATATCCTTTCTTCGTGTACTTGTCAACAATCTTCAACTGAATGTCTCACCAGAAGGAAGCCATATATCAATCATCACGTTTAGTGATGAGAAAAATACTCAAGTACAATTATCAATGAAAAGTCTGAATAAAGCGGATGTGGAAAACAGAATCGCGATGCTCCAATATCGCTATTTGATAGGTTATCATGAAAAAAGAACGGATGCAGCTTTACTAAAAGCAAATGAGGTAAGTCAAATTGTTTATGGTTTCAAATCCATTCAGTTATTCACTGAATATAATTCATACACAGACGAATGCAAGGAGTTGAATGCAAGGATATGGTATTAAAAAAGTAAATAACATTTTTTTTCAAAAAAAATAAATTTTGCTATTATTTTATAGCACTGGAAATATCTCAAATTATCAGCATTACTTAATATATTAACTTTATCGAGTCATCCTAAAATCAAGTATGGTTTTAGTCTTACGTTACTGGTTTGCGACGATAAAAGCATCCAAGATAATATATTATCTTTAGAAATAGCGGCCAAATCAGTAACCATCAGTTTGTGACCTGCTTTCCTTTTCTATATAACAAAAAAAATGTATAATAGCGTCTATATAGGTGCTCTAAATATACATAGATTGATTATTTTACAGATATTCAAGAGAAATAATTCACTAAATCATCGAGAAGATAAAGATGATGTCATAATTTTGCTCACTGATGGACCACCAACGACAAGGTCGGGAAAAGGTGAACAACCGCACGACATCGCCATAGCTGAAGCAAAGAAACTGAGAAACAAAGGCATAATCATTGTTGGGATTGCTGCTGGTAACCGTCAACAAAAAGTTAGAACTGTGCCATTCTTGACAAATATATCAACAGCTGGTCAAACGCTCTCATCAACATTTCATGATTTAATTCTGTTGGTCGACAGAATTGTGTACGCTTTCTGTCCCGGACCCCCCCTTGGTGAGATTTCATTCTTTATAAACTTTCAAGTAAAATGCAGGGCAGAAGAGCTGGTAGAGATCCTAACATGTCAGAAAACATGATAATGAATGATAATGAATATAATGTTGACTGTTTGTGGCGTTCGCGGGGAATGTTTAGTTTTCGAATTTTTCTTTTTTTGTTGCCAAATTTGAAATCTAAGTTTTACAAGAAATGCGGCTAGACTCTTAGCATTTTCCGCGGAGTCCTTTCAATATTATTTCTTTTCTGCCCGGTACAGGAAAAAATTGATGAGCACTTCAGCCGTAGATAGCCTGTTAACGCTACATCAAAAATTTTAGTACCGAAATAATAAATATTATTCTTATTTTTGGCAATTATTAATTTATTCCTATTCATTTGACCAAGGGTTATATATAGACATGTGAAATTACCATTTTAAATTAGATTTTGAAATATTTCGGTTTTCTTTATGCATACACACTATATAGCTACATAGTCGTATAT